AACCCCGCCCTGCCCCCAGATCACTCCCCTGCCAACCCAATCCACCTGAGAGCAGTGGTGGCAGAAGTGGTGGAAGAAGAGGGGGGTTCCCCCACCCAGCCTGTTCCCAGGCTCCCTGTAGCTTGTGCCATCCCTATGCACCCAGATCCAGTCCCCACCAGGCCCAGCAGCTGCCTGGAAGCTCCTTGTTCTCCCAACCTTTTCCTCTGCCTCCCCTTCAGTTGCAAGGCATGGTGAAGGCTGATCTGGGCAGCGTGGTCTGCAGAGATCATGAGCAAGCAGAAAAAGGGAACACTCCCCCCCTTACCCCCCCAGCACCTCTGTCAGTCTTAGGTGGATCAGGGAAGTAGGGCAGTGATCCATGGATGGAGAGGCTGATGGGGACAGAGGGGGCAATTGTGGTGATGGGAGCAATCTGGGGGTGGAAGGGGAGATTTGTGGGTTGGGAAGAATTTGGGGGGCAGACAGGGTAGCAGCTTGGCAGCTCCCCACAATCTGGTCAAACACCACCCAAATACGGGGGCTGTGTATAGAACCAAGATTATGCTATGGCCACATGATTGGCCAAATTAATCTCCACATGCCTTGGTTGCCTACATTTCACACTTCACTACCCTTCACTCATCCTGGCTGTTCGCACACGCTCACTCCAGTTGCTGATAGGTACAGTCCCCACTCCAGTTCCACCAGGTCTCCTCTTTCTTCTGATGCATGCATTCTAATTGCTTCACATGCAGAATGAGGAAGGAAAATGGAGTTAGTATAAAGAGGTGCAAACACCAGTCCAGTCTGGTCTAGCCATGCAGCAGCAGCTGGAAGTACTGTGCCAGCACTGAATGTACTCTAGCACCCTCCTATGGCATGGCCTTTTCTTGCTTGTTCCAGGACCTGGCAGATGGAGTGCAGCCATCCTTGGCCAGTGGATAAATCCTCCAAGTCATGAGAAAGGGCATAATGGGGAAGCCTCTCAGAATTCTTTGAGAAGAGAGAGCGCAATAGGTCCTGAGCCAGATCCAGCTTCCTTATTCTGCAAGGACACTGAAGAACCTAAGTGTCTAAAGCAGACCCAGATGTCCATGGGCACAGAGAGTGACTGGGGGCACAGAAAAGGCTACAATGAGGAAAGCAGATTTTGTGTAAACACTTTAGGAAAAGTCACAGATAAATCTAGGGTAAACACTTGTTGGGTCAGCCAAAAATCTGTGGAGGAAAGTTCAGGTGGCTCCTTGTGTCACTGACTGAGCCATGATTAGGCACAGCTCCTGCTGTGAGGTACCTCCAGGGCATTTAATTGGTATCCAGAGTGCTTGTGGCACAGCCTCCCCCTTGCTCTGTCTTCAGCATCTACAGTGAACCTCACAAGATAGAGATGAGGGTGAGTGGAGTGAATTTTTTCTTGGGAGCAGTGTGTAATATTACCTGTTGTGTTTTCTAAGGAGTTTACAAACAGAGGGTCCAGCAAAGGGATCAGGCCCTTGGTTAGCTCAAGTTTTAAGCTATCAGGACTAGAAAATTAGGAACCTCTCAAACAATGTAGTATACTAACACCATACTGACTTTTTCCAGCACTTTCAGTGGAGGCTTTCAAACTGTTTTAACTTATTTCATCTTTTTTCTTCCCAGTGCTGTGAAATTTAAATATTATCCCACTGGAGGAAACTGAAGGGCAGAGAGGCAGTGTGAGGCCTTGGAGCTTGATCCTGGTGTGTCATCCATGTCATTTTATAGAATCATAGAACACGTAGAAAATCGTTAGGGTTGGAAGAAACCTCAGGGGGTCATCTAGTCCTCAAAGCAGGACCAACCCCAATTATATTATACCAGACAAGGTTTTGTCTAGCTCGGTCTTAAAAACCTCCAAGGACGGAGATTCCACCACCTCTCTGAGTAACCTGTTCCAGTGCTTTACTACCCTCCTTGTGATAAGGTTTTTCCTAATATCTAATTTAAACTTCCCTTGCTGCAACTTGAGACGATTGCTCCTTGTTCTGTCACTTGCACCACTGAGAACAGTCTAGTTCATCCTCTTTGAAACCACCCTTTAGGTAGTTGATTAGGAGAGTCCACAACTTCCCTAGGCATTCTTTTCCTGCTGCTATTAAATCCCCTCTCAATCTTCTCTTCTTCAGATTAATTAAGACAAGTTCCCTCAGCCGCTTCTCATAAATCATGTTCCCCAGCTTCCTCACCATTTTTGTTGCCCTCTGCTAAACTCTCTTCAATTTGTCCACATCCTTGCTGTAGTGTGTGCTGGGGGGAGAAGGGGGAGTCCAAAACCAACCACAGTACTCCAGATGTGGCCTTACCAGTGCGGAAGAATCACTTCCCTCAATCTGCTGGCAATGCTCCTGCTAATGCAGCCCAGTATGCCATTAGCCTTCTTCACAACAGGGGCACACTGTTGTCTCATATTCATCTTATTGTCCACTGTAACCCCCAGCTCCATTTCTGCAGAGCTACTGCTTAGCCAGTCAGCCTCCAGCCTATACAAGAGATTGTTCTGCCCTAAGTGCAGAACTTCGCACTTGTTCTTTTTGAACTTCATGAGATTTTGTTTAGGTCCAATCCTCCAATCTGTCACGGTCTCTCTGAATCCTAGCCCTGTCCTCCAGTGTGTCTACTACTTGCCCCAGCTTGGTTTCATCTGCAAACTTGCATTCCATCTCTTCTTCCAGGTCATTGATGAAGGTATTGAACAAGACTCCCTCCAGAAGTGGTGCAGGCACCTACTCTGGACTCATTCAAGAAATGTTTGGATGCTTATCTTGCTGGGATCCTTTGACCCTAGCTGACTTCCTGCCCCTGTGGCAGGGGGCTGGACTTGATGATCTTCAAGGTCCCTTCCAGCCCTAGTGTCTATGAAAGCTATGAAACAAAACTGTCTCCTAGACTGACCTCTTGATACCAGCTGCCAACTATGCATCAAGCTACTGATTACTACTTTCTGAGCCCAATGGTCTAGCCAGTTTTCTATCCACCTAACAGTCCATTCATCCAAGCCATACTTCCTTACCTTGCTTGCAAGAATGTTGTGGGAGACCATATCAAAAGCCTTGCTAAATGGTTATCTAGTATATGGGGCCAAAACCTGGAGCACCACTGGTCTAGGTCAGTGGCCCACCCCTCTGGCCTGATGGGTCTAGGTTATACCACAGGCCAGGTCCCATGTAAGGTTGGCATGTGGGTCTGGTTCATGATTACAATCCCACGTGCTGGCCTGACCTTGTGTACCAGGCCAACCAGTACAACTGGATCTGGCTGCACATCAGCCCAGCCACATGAGCTGGTATGATTTAGCATGCAGGGCCATGTTATTGAGATCACATAGCTCCTCATGGGTCCAGAAATGTGGTAGCAAAGGAACAGCAATTAATGCTGCCACCACTCCTCCTCTGCCAAAATTCCAGACTCACGGGGAGCCCTGCAAGTCAGAAGACACAGTTCCACGGGCCAAATCTGGTCTGTAGGCCAGAGGGTAATGGACCTAGACCAGTGGTGTTTAACAAGTTGAGTGGATCAGCTGTCAATTAAGATGCATAAAAGGCAGAAGTTAAATATATTTGGAAAAAAACCTGGATGACACATTCACATTTAGCAATGCTAATGATTGGTTTTTCAGTTCCACCAGTATTAGGGGAAATAATAAATTACTGAAGATTATAAATTAATCTGTGTCAGAATGGGAGTGAATTCCCACAGGGGCCTGTAATGGGCCCAGTGTTATTCAAATGTTTTATTAATGATTTGGATGCTATTATAGAAAGCTTTTTGAACAAGTCTGCAGATGACACTAAACTGGGAAGGATGGGAATGCAATTCAGAAGAATCTCAACAGATTGGAAAGCTGTGTAGAAGAAGTTGTGTAGAATTGTTGTGCCTCAACACCTTTTGGAATCCAGTGCAAAGAATGTAAGCCATATTTGGAAGATTAGAGGTTGTATAATGAAAACTTGAGACTTGAAAAAGCCCTTGAGGACCATAGTGACCATGAAACTAATCATAAATCCTCAGGGCAGCATGGTAGCTAAAAGAGAACATGATCTTTGCTTGTTTTCCATTTTGGGGTATTTTAGGGGGAAAAGAGACTACCACTGTAACTCACAGAGCACTGAGGGTACTGCCTAATCAAAGTGGCCATCCAGAGTTCTACATAGGCCACAGGTCTGAATGTACTTTAACCAGGGCCTTTTCCTTAAGCCAGTGTAAAAGGCAGTGGAAGGCTTCAGCAGCTTTCCTAGTTAATGATGAAGAACAGAGGAAGTGCTTATACAGTAAAGCCATATTCCAAGAACCCTAGTGCAGGGGTAGGCAACCCCTGGTACAGGTGCCAGAGTGTGGCACGTGAAGGCATTTTGCTTGGCACGTGTGTCTCAGGGAGGGCAGTGGGGAAGAGGCCAGGGCTACACTGCCATAACAAGGGTTGGGCCCCTCATGGCTCCCTCACCATCTGCCCCTGGCATACCAACATCTTACAAGCCAAGATTGCAGGTGTTTTTGGTACCCTGCCCAAAAACATTGCCGACCCCTGCCCTAATTTGTTCCTTAACAAACATATCCCTTCCTCCAACAAATAGGTGAAATCAGCAACTTCAGCCTTTGCCTGGCTCTTCAGAAACAGGCTCTAGCGTGCTTTTCTCAAGTTCTCTGGGCCTGTTGCTATAGACATGCTGTTACACAGAGAGCTGTTAGCAAATTATGAAAATCTTTCTGCTTTTTATGTAGCAACAGTTTTGCTTGCTCAACAGGAAAAGAGTAAGGGGAAGAAGTGTAACTCATATGAAGAGCGAGAGCAAGTCAGATGACCCAGGAGCCAATAAAGGGCAGCTAGACTGGAGGGGTAGAGGAAGTTGCCAGACAGAATCTTGTAGGATGTCAGCCCAGTCTGTATCTTAAAGGATATGACTCATTTGGTGCCTAATGTCTTATGATGTGACCAGCAGTAGTCCATGCAGATGCCAAGATACTGCACAAGCCACGTGGGTTTTGTATCAAAAATACAACAGCAGGGTTAGAATAAACTGCCCCATGC